AGGCTGGAGCAGACTCTAGACTGATGATAACATGGGGCTGAGTGGGTTCTGCACTTTTTGTGCAAGGGTCCTTTTGTTTGGGTCAGCTTGAGCGCTGTGGAGAGGACGCATGCCGGCAGCCTCACACAGCAAGAGAGGGGACGAGAAGGTCACCGGGGAACGAGAAGATCATGGAGGCTGTGGGCAGAGTTTCCAAGGCTTGAGCGCTGGGGTGCCTCCGTCTTTTTGTGACCTCCACCTTTTGCTTCGTGTGAGAAGCTGCTTCCTGTTTGTGTGCACCACGACAGCCTCCCGGCATTGGTGCCCACACAGTGCTTTTCCTGTGCACCTTCCCTTTGAGCAGAAATACTTCTGAGTGTCGCTGGGGGGTTTTTTTGTGCCTATCTCTTACCCTACTACTGCCACCTAAAACCTCCTTTTACAGTCTCTGAAGTGTTTGGACATGACACTAATGCTTTTGTGCCTTTTGCAAGCTGCATGTGGTTACCTATTCACATTTTTGAGTTTTTCTTTTGCTAAAAATGCATGGCGGAGGCTTGTGGAGCTGTTCTCTTGGAGCTTTGTAGCTCTGAACCCAAAAGGTGTCTGCCTACAAATCTGGGGCCGTATGAGTGACAGGAGTTGCAGGTCCGTCCACATAGCTCTGACATTCCTGGTTTTAGGAGGGGCTCAATATACAGTGACTTCTGTGTCAGGCAGTCACCTTGAACAGAAGCAGAAATGATTGAGCTGGAGTGAATCGGACTGGAAAGTTTACCTGCTAAACATAGATAGGGATACACTTTTGGCCAGTGGGAAGCACTTGGAGTGAACTTCATGTGCTTTCTTGGCTTCAGTAGATCATGTCCTGAGTCAACATCCTCGGGAGACGACACCCTTGGGGCTGTTTGCTATCCAGGTAGTCGAATTTCAGACAAGATTGTTTAAAATCAGCAACTGGAAGCGTGACTCTGGTCACCAGTTGGAAAGCCTGTGTTTGCAGATTCGGCTTTAGTCTGTGCTGCTCGGGAAGCGAACTGAAAGCAGTGATAGGTTTACTGTTGCTTTTTGTTAACCACATGGCTTTACAAAGTTTAGTTTGTTTTAGCCATTCTGCCTTTGAAAATGGCCTTTTCAGGTTTTTTATGTTTTTGCATTCTTGGTGACACCAGTGGATGTATTGACGGGGTGATCTGTGTCAAGCCAGTCTCGGAAGCAGCTGCCTTGCTCTCTGTGTGCACGCCAGTGCCTGCCTGGTGTCTCCTCAGTGACCTGCATCTCAGCTGCATCCCTTAGGGCAGCATTTCTAAGAGGGTGTGTGGTGTTAAAGTGGATTTGATTAACTGGAGGTCAGAGCAGCACAGATGATTTCTCACCATTTCAGTGTCCTTCAAGTCTCTGCAACTGTTAAATCTCCGTATTCGGCAGCTGTTTTTTATCACGCTTTTTCCTCTCCCATCTTTTCACTTCCCGAGGTGCCAGCCTCCTCAAGACAAACAAGAGCAAGCGCTGGCAGGGCGAGCGGTCGCGTTTGGCCCTCAAACCCTTGCGGTGTCCGAACGCTTGTGGCTGTCATTGCCCAGCTGGAGCTCCCGGGAGATTTCCCCTGAAAATTCACCTAAACGGCAAACTTGCATTTCCTCCTCCCCCTTTAACGCTGCACGAGTGAACGCGAGATATTAAAAGAGCCTTTGTTCGTTAAACCAGAAAGCATCCCCTGGGCTGACTGGGGCTCGCAGTAGTTTCTTCAGAGCAGCGACTGGGAAACGGGAGTGGAGAGCAGCAGCAGCTGGGGTTGGGGAGCTCAGCCTGTCTCGGCCGGAAGGATCTTGCTCGGTGGGACGGCAGCTGCCCGGCGCCTGGGCTCAGGCCGGGCTGGCAGGGCCCCGTAAAGGGACGTGTT